GTTACATAAGTGTGACAGATTAGCCTGTTGAAGCAAGGGGACAAGGCAAACTTCTCAAAAGGAACACCTCCCACCCATTCTTTTGGTCCATAAAAATGAGAGGATAAAAATGTTCATTCAGTATTTAAAGATTCTCCTACTGTAACCTTACAATAAAGGTAGTGTTCATATTCATGGTTGGTGCTTCTTCTCTGGACTACCTCTAAGGCTGGGATGAAGATTACAAAATCCCTCATGAATAAGAAAGGTATGGGGCTCAATTGGGAGATGACGATGTTTTTATTTGTTTTATTCCTTTCACATAGGAAATATCAGATAAGTCTGTTTCACGTAGATATACGATCAACTGTTTACAATAACCAACCGTTTGTGCATTTGCTAGCTTAAACCCATAAGAGGGAACCCATCAGAGACGTATCTTTTTCTTCACAGTTTCCCTCTTCAAAATAGACCAATTAAAAAAGACCAGGCTGAGAAGTCTATGACATCATATGTTTTGCTTCTCAGGATTGTCAAAGTACCTGCTGTGATGCTGCAACTTGTAAGCTGAAACCTGGGGCACAGTGTGACGCTGAAGAGTGTTGTGAGCAATGCAGAGTAAGACTTGTTTATTTTTAACACCAAGAGAGATTTTACCCTGCTCCATGCTAGCCATATAAAAATGTAATATTTCTTGGCTGCTTACTATGATCAAAACATTTTAACCTATTCCTATCCCCTCTTCCAGCTTATTTGACCCTTATGAACATATCCATAGGGAGGATAATATAACAAAAATTCAGCCTTGTCCTAATTGAAAACACCCTCTTTCTGTACATTAAATCTCTGAAAATAATAAATTTGTTCTTTGACTGACTTTGCATGGATGTCCAATTTAAATAAGGGTGGTCAATATTTGAGATTGATGCCCTAACTTAGCTCCTTGACTTTTGGGAAGGTTCTTGGAGGTCTCTTGTAATGCTGTGACATTTTTCTCACTGAGATTTTTAGGATGGAAATAGGTTTAAGAGATGTCTGGAAATAAAATTGCTTCTCTCCCACCCCCTCCTTAAATTCTCTACCTGATCTCTAAAGCTCTAAATTCAGTTATTTTGGTAGCACATTCTGGAGGTGCTGCAGGTTCATGAAGAGAGAGGTGCAATTTCCTCATTCCTTCCATATGGGGTCCCAGTTGACTCTGCAATGAACTTTTTGAGCAGAGAGGCCCAAATCATTTTGTTCTTTCCAAATTTTCATCACAAGCCCAGAGTCACAGGAAAAGAAGATTTTTTGAGCACCACAGAAAATTCTGTGAATGCTTCTTCCCATGTAAGGAAATAAAAATATATCATGAGAAGTTCATCAATTAAACTTTGGCTGCTTTTTCATGGCAGCTCAATTGATTTTCACTTCATGGTCAGCCAATATGTAAGTCTTTTGTTTCAGGAATTGGGCTTGTGATTGCAATCATTTTCTCATAGCAAAAAAGACATGCTGCAGCTGTCTTCTAGGCACAATACACAATTGCAAAATGGCAATTTTTTGCAAGGGATGCCTTGCTTAGTAATCCTCAAGAAGATGAAGAGGAAATTTTGAAATGTATTATGAATCATAGTTTGATCTCTGCTGCT